CCACATATGGGCATCAAATGCTTCAGAAAGCATGCAAATGGGGGAAATTTGCATGTAGGCAAACCTCCACAAGAAACAACTATTCTTTCTGCACAAATGGCTACAACAATATGCCCTGCTCACCAGTGTATTGTGCAGTAAAAAGAAGAAGGAGATTTGTCTGAGAACTGGTCACATGTGGAAAGTGGTTATAGACCCCTGACTGAAGCAAAGATATAGGAGGTATAGACTTTGGAGGTATAGACTTTGTATTTCAGCTACACCTTTGGTACAACCTCAGAAGTCAGTGGGCCACTAATCATGCAATGGTCTCTTTGCATCAGTGCAATTTTTGGGCACTGGTGTCAAGACGGATTGCTTCTTTGGGCTTTAGTAAGGCTCTGGGTGAAGATATGATCTGAGTAAAGGTGTACAAATGCTATGCCATTTGGTAGCCATCTCTGCTATTTACGCTAACAATTAAGGTGGTGATGGAACTTCAACTGTAGGGAAATGCTATTATGGCTAAGGTTTTACCTTAAGTTTCTTATTATGCCTATTTATTGTACCTTTAGTCAAAGAATACTGTATGTGACTCTCATATGAAATTATGCACTCTCACAATTGATCATGGTTGTATGTGATAAAGCTTGAACAACAGACTGTAAGTGCTAAGCCTTCCCTGTTCTTACTCTGGTAGGACAGTCACATTATTTGAACTTGGTCTTACGTTTAATTAAAATTCAGGTAATGCCTGAACTTTAGGTTAATCCCCTGAAGATGGTATTCATTAGTAGGAATTTAATTTGCAATCTAGTTTGCAATAAACATTGTCACTGTAGAAAACAAAGCTTGATGTTCAGTTTTTTAAAACAAGTACATATTTGTAATGATCAATACTGGGGATTTGTTGTTGTTGCAAAAACAGTTATGGAACTAGGAATATATTTCATCACAGCTAAGGCAGCACAGAATCCAAAGGGAAGCAAATGATCTGAGTCAGGGCCCAAACAGTCTTAAATGGTGAACTTACATTATCCATGCTATATAAATCTTTTGTGAGACTGGGGGACACTGCCCATCAGGGATGCAATATAAGAAACCAGGATATGTACTTTATAAAACCTGCATCATAAGGTAAAATGTAATGATGGCATAATCCTATGCATATTTATTTAGATACTTAGCAGTAATAAGCCTTTTGGATGTCAGGACTAAATTCTGGGGCTTATGAAGTAATCAACTACAATAAATGTAATTTATTAGTAATTGTTATCAGTTTTATCCATATCCTTCATTGCTTTAAGCATTTGTTAAGTATTCATAAGAAGCACACTTAATATAACAGGAAGGAATATTCATTTACCACCCATGATCCACAGCCATATACCAAAGGAGGAGCATTGCCTCACAATTACTTTTGATTAACACTGATACACACCTCTGACATTTTCCCCAAAACATTCAATCTGCATTGTAAATCAATCATAATGTAATTTTTACATGTGGCTAAATATATATCATAGTATACAATAGTAGGATTCTTTACTTTCCTCTTTGTCATATAATGTGAACAAATCAAGTAATTGCTTCCAGAACTATGGTAAGTTTTCTAAAGTAGCCTAACTTTATAAAACCTGCAAGTCTTTCAGTTCCATGTGATCTTGAAAATGTTCTTAACTTTCAGTGTCAGTTTTCAGCAGGAATCCTCCCTTTTTATTAAACTTCTATATACATTCTGTAATCCAGGCACTTTAAAACACTAATTTTAAATCCTTCATTTATCCCTCGTATTTGGACAATAGACAATTTATTGCTTGCTTTACATCAGCGGTACTGCGTTCTTTCCTTTTTTTTCCCCATGGGATTGAGAAGAGTATTACAGTCTTTGGCAGTTTGCAAGGAAGAAAGACTTACCACAAATTATACCAGCATTAAAGTTAAGTCTTCTCAAAAGAAGTATTAATTACAAGTGGCAGATTACTGGACACATTATAGAACAAATGAGGCAATACAAATACCTGGGCATGCTATTTCAGGACATAAGCTCATAGATCAGGCTACAGAAGATGGCTGGAAGTCATCATCTGTGATTCTAAGTTTTTTCTATTGAATGGGAAGCCAAACCATACCCTCGGTCTTTTGGGTTTTTTGGGAAAAACAATTGCACGGCTTCTATATGGCATGCAGGCCTGCACCTATAAAAAATTCTGTCATTTTGAGAGTTTTTTTCAAATTTCTGAGAATTATTTTGGGGACTTCTTGTTGTGCCCCAAATGTTCTATGTATTGAATCTGGTCTGATTTCCATAGAAGCACAGTTTTGGTAAAGTAGACTTATATACTGGCTAAATCTGTTAAAGTGCTCAGAAGCTTTTGCCCCTTAACCTTGCGTTACATCATTCAAAGTTGATAAGCTCTCTGGAAACTAAACTAAGTGGATATAGATTCTCACTATCTTCTGTGGCATCTAAAGACTAAAAAAGCTATAAAACATTGTGTTTGGGACACTGATAAATTAAACAATTTTAGCAAAATAGCCTAGTTCTATGTGGTTGGAAAGTTATCAAAATCTCTGCCCTGGCTTCTTTTCAGTGACTTCCCTCCAAGGTACCAACATGTCGTTTTACTAGCCAAACTGAAGGTTATATTTTCTGCAATTATGCAAGGTAGATTTGCAGGTGTCACAAATTCAGAAGGGCTATGCTCTTGTCTCTCAAGATCTGTTGAGTCAGTGGTGCATATTTTATTACTTTGTTCCTTCTATAAAGATTCCCAACATCTACTAATAACACCTCTTTTAAGTAACTTCCCAGGCAGATCTAATTCATTTTATGTCACTTAAAAAAAAAAAATTAAATCCAGACATTATTTACAAAGTAGCAAAATTGATTTCTGGAACTATGCTTACTAGAAACCAGATGGTATCACAGATGATAAAGATTGATCCATAAATTTAAGTCAAAATATGCTGTATTTTAAATTGTACCATTTCCTTCCACAACTGCTCTCCAGCATTTCTTGCACTGAGAACCATCAGTGTTGTCTTCTCTCAACAGGGATGTACAGGTCTTTCTCAACCTCCAGCAACCTCTCAGGCCCCCAAACCAAGGGTCAGCCCCCCTCAATACACTCTAACACATTCTAACAATGATCTAGCCCTTGCACTTCTTCAGACCATTCAGATCATGGCACAGTGGTGAAACATATGCAAAACACATGTCCTATTCCTGATGAAAATAGGTCAGGGAAGATTTGGGGTAGACAGCCAACTACATATGGTATGTAGCATTCAGGGTGAGTTGGGTTTGGTGAAGTGGTTGAGGGTCTGAGTCTTGTCTGAAGTCATCTAGTTGAAGGTTTCTAGTGTTTGGATGGCTGAGAATTTTCTTAGGTAGGTGGGAGTTGTGGGCTGGGAGGGGGAACTGTGGAGGATGTTGTGAGAAATCTACTCACTTAAATTAGAAACCAAAGTGACTGGAGACAGATGCAAGAAATCTACTTTTATTGGAATGTGCTACCATCACCAGGTTCCTTGCCAACAGACTATGGGAGAAAGCCCCAAGTGAAATGCTTCTACAGATTATATATGTTTGGTCAGATACATTTGAAACAGAAAAAATAAAAGAAATACAGTAATACAATTACACTGTGACCCTTTAGCTAAAATGCCTTGATAAACTATTAAAGTGACCTCTCTGTTATATTTCACACTTGGAATATCCTTCCTGATATTGCACAACATGCACAATAAACATTGTGGTCCCCTTTTACACCATTCCATTCCTTCCCCTAGGAAGGACAGCTATCTGGTTTATGTTCTCTGTCTCCAGTCCAGGGTCACAATACTAAGCACTAAGTTATACAGAATTAATGCTGCCATTTAGCTGCCTAAAACCCTATATATAAATATATCTGTGTATATGTTTTAATATGTATTTAATGCCATTAGACTTCCCCAGGGAACAGGACATTGGTTGTGACAGGTGAAGGGAAATCTGGTGGGAGGCTGAGACAGGCTGCACTCAGGAAAGGAAGGTTCAATATCTTAGACTGATTCCCCCCACCCCACCCCAAGCTCTCAGTCCTCATTCCAGATGCCAGGATTCCAAATCCCTGCAGCTTGGGGGCTTTGTCAGGTCTATCTGTAAGATCTTCCTCATCCATGATTTAATTTTCTTTGAGGGAGCAGACCTGACATGTATTAATGGGGAAAGAGGGTGGCATTCCCCTTTTGGAAATTTGTCCATCTGGGTTTTGAGTTAGCCCCAGCTGTGCTCCCTGGATAGGGGAGGGGGTATCATCATCTTCTGGCATTTAGAGGTGCTACCCTGGAAGTAGCCAGACATAAGACCTTATTTGTGCATTTGGATCTGATTTCTGGGTTGATGGTGGACTTCCCCTGACTGAAGTAGTGGAGAACTTCATCCTGCCTTCACTTGAGCAAAAGGCACTCAGGACTCACATGACAACCACGGACCTGACCCAATTTTTTGTGGGTCCAACTCTTATGAAAGGTGATGCATTAATTTGGTTTTTGTTTTGGAGCAGATGCAACATCATCTGAAAGTAGTGGGCATTGAATTTCACCCCTTGTCAGGGACAGGTCACTCTCTGATTGCTATGGAGTTTGGCTTAGTGAAGCTTTCACTGAATCTAACAGTCTTATACAATTTTAGAATTGTCTCTATCTGTTTTAAGGAAAGGTTGTGGAGAAAGTGGTGTCCCTACAGCTTCAGACAGTCCTAGAGGAAGCAGATTATTTGGACCCTTGGGAGTCAGGCTTCAAGCCACAAAATTGCATTTGTTGTGCTTGTTGATGACCTGTGAAGGGACCAGAATTGGGGGAGTGCAATCATCCTAGTCTTCCTTGATCTCTTGGTGGCTTTTGATACCATTAACTATGGTATCCTTCTGGACTGCCTCGGAGGGATTTGAGTGGAGGGTACTGTTTTACAGTAGTTCTCCTTCTTTCTGTAATTTGGGAGTTATTTAGACTCACAGCTCCTGCTTAAAGAGCAAATGGCAGTTGTGGCTAGGAGGGTTTTGCACAGTTACATCTCTTGCCACTTGAGTCCATTCTTGGATCAGGAGGCCCTGCTTATGGTTACTCTTGCCCTAGTCACCTCCTGGTTGGATTACTCGATAGCTGGGGCTATCCTTGAAGAACCTCCAGGAGATACTACTGGTGTAGAATATGGCAGCCTGGGTAATGATTGGTGTGCCCCAATACACTTGGTAACTCCTATGCTTTGAGAGCTCCAATGATTGCTTTTGGGTACATACTTCATTTGAGATGAAACTATTAAGGGCACAGGAAGACAAAACAGAAGAAAAAATAAGGAAGTTTGCCTTTTACTCTTTCCCTTGCAACTGAGACACTTTCACTTTTGGATTCCAATATTACAATGGCAACCACCAGAAAAGCAGCACAAACAGCGGAAGGGAGGAAAGGATCACGAAAGCAACCTGCACAGAGAGGAATTACACCAGATTTACTTCAAAAAATGAGGAATTGGGCAATAAGTTAGTTGATACTTGATACTAAATTGACAGCTTTTGGATGACAGGTTTGTACAGATGAAAGAGGAGATGAAAGAAGTTAAGAAGATGGAAATCTCTGTAAAACAAGGGTCTGCAGATGTAAAACAAATTAACGCCAAAGTGGAAATTCTGGAGAGTAAGACAGAAGTTATAGACAGAAAGCTGGAAAGAGACTTAAATAAGTTGGTACTACTAGCATTGAGAGAAAAGGAATTTTGTTTGTAATCCCAGAGGATTCTGGTGAAGATACTTGTGCATACAATAATCTCACTGCAGTTATCATATACAAAAACAAAGTTCCATGACATTTTTCCAACTGTTTGTCTATCAGATCCAAAAGAAAGACCTCTGGTCTCAAATGTGTATTAATCTTTAAAATCCTCTGAATCAGTGTACTGTATGTATTTGAATCCAAAATTTTATAGCTTTTTTACATGTCCACCAAGCATGATAAAATATCCCTTCTTGTTGTTCACATTTCCAACATAAATTTGAAGTGCCTTTATACATTCTAGATAATTTCTCTGGTGTCATATACCAACAGTACTTCATTTTATAAAAACTTCTCCTTAAGATTATAACACAATGTAAATTTCAATCCTTTCAACAATATATTTTCCAGTGTTCCATCTGTATATTATAAACAACATTTTTAGCCCATTTTATCATACATTCTTTTCATTGTTCTTCTGTTTCATTCAGTAAAAATTTATACATTTTAGCAATTACATGTCCATTATTTGTACACAATTCTGTTTCAAACTCAGTCTTACAATGTTCAAAACCATAAACTCTTAAATCTTTAAATCTTACTTTAAAGTAAGTCTACTTTAAATCTTTCTAATAACTGTAAATAAGAAAACCATTGGCAACTATATCCCTCTGCCACTAGTTCTTCTCTTGATTTAATTTTGTATTCCCCTTGACAACATTCTCGTATCTCACAATAAAAAAATCTCTTCAATCACCAAAGCAAAAAGACAAACTAGATTCCATTAACATCTTGACCATAAGACATGTGGGAAGAGCCATGTTTTTGGGCCTTCAGAAAGGCCAACATGGCTAGGGCCATCTGAACTTCAGAGGGGAGGCTGTTCCACAAGTCAGGTGTTATGACAGAAAGGTAAATAAATAAGCTTATACACATTCATAATATTATCCATTAAATTCATGAGAAATTTGGAATCGGATTTCAAAGAACTGTCTATATCCCTATTAACCTGCATGGTTTCTAAGATCATCCTCAGATACTCTCTTCAGAGGCCAGCCATTGAAATGGTCGAAGTTGCCAAGTACCAGGGTTAGGGCCTTTTCAGTGGTGGCCCCATACTTTCTATGGATACTGTGTCATCCAAGAACTCTTCTTAGCTAGTCACTTTTGTCTTTCAAGTGAAACAAAAGATTTTTGCTTTTCAATCTTTGTTCCTTTCCCTTCTTTTATCTAATCCAGTTTTCTGGAGGGGTAGTGATAAAGCAACCACCTGTCTTCTGGCAATATAAAGATGAATAAATTAAGTATGATATTAGTTTCCCTGGAGAATGTGAAATTATAATATTTTGCCATTTCCATTTCATTAAAAATATAAGCTGCTTTGTGAGATTTCTCCTAAATGCCAGAGTAGAAGTATATTAAACAATAAGAAATAATGAATATGTAAAAATGTAAATTCATAGCCTTTTTTAAAATGTAAAACAAAGGAAAATACTTAACCATTCCATTATTATTGTAGTATCTGCTTATTATTTGACACAATGAAAATACTATGAGATACAGACATTTAAAAATAATGATTCTGGGTAATTCTAAGAAACATCTGCAGCAAAAAATAGTTATGCTTCTCAACCTAAATTATGTCATAAACTGTTGGAATCCTTCCCAAGATTAGAATTTTGGAGTTTTTGCAAACGTTAATGAAGTACTAGTAATTTTTGATATTTTTAATTGCTTTTTAACAGTAAATTTATGTAGAGTTAAGTGCCATATGGAGAAAAACTAAACAGAAGCAAAAAAGAAATGAATAAAGAATCAAATGTGACATCATCAAAATATTCATGGTTGAATACTGGTAGTCTTTAGCAAAACATTCTAAAAATGTTAGCTTGTGTAGGAAGATAGAATGGATAGCTATTGATCTATAATTCATGATAAATCATTAGTTCTACTAGATTTACAGGTGCCCAAAGACTATACTATAAGGATTCTGTGTCATTAAATTAAAAAAAAAATCTTCATCTTCAATTTTGTTTTATGTACATGCCTTTGAGTCAGTCTTGACTCCTGGACAAGTCCATGCATTTATTTTTCTCAGCAACATTTTCAGAAGCGGTTTGACCTTGTCTTCCTGGGGCTGAGAGAAAGTGACTGGCTTAGGATCACCCAGCTGTCTTCATACCTAAGGCAGAACTAGAGCTTTTGAGTGCCCTGATTTCAGGCCTGGAGCTTTTAACCATTACAACAAACTGGCTCTCTTCCCCTACAATTATCTATTATATACTGTATGTAAATGTGTGTGTGTGTGTGTGTGTATGTATGTGTGTGTATGTATGTATGCGTGTGTGTGTGTGTATGTATGTGTGTGTATGTATGTATGCATGTGTGTGTGTGTGTGTGTA